ATATGGTTGCTGTTCTGGTTACTATTTGTGTGGTATCTTTTTCCAACTTTTTTTTAAACAGATTATTTATAGAGAGAGAGGAGAAGGGAGGGAGAAAGGGAGAGAAACATCGATGTGAGAGAGAAACATCAATCAGTCTGTTGCCTCTTGTACTTACCTGACTGGTGACCGAATTTGTAACCCTGATATGCGCCCTGACCAGAAATCAAACCAGCGACCTTTCGGTCTGTGCGCTCTGCCCAGCGGCTGCGCCCCACCAGTCAGGGCTCTTTTCCCAACTCCCCGCTGTCCACCTGTTCGTGTTTTGGAATCTCTCATGCAGAGTGTGCAGTTGGATCTTGCTTCTTTTATTTAGTCTGACAACTTCTGCCTTTTAATTGGGGTGTTTAGACCAGAGATTAGCAAATTGTGGTTCGTAAGCCAAATCTGCCCTGCTACCCTTTCTTTAAAAACAAAAACAAACAAAACCCCGCCCCCCAGCTTTGTGGAGTTAAAATTCACAAACCACACAATTCACTCACTTAAAATATACAACTGAGGGGTGGTTAGTATATTTATAAAGCTGCCCGACACCACCACAATTTTAGAACATGTTCGCCATTCCCAAAAGAAACCTTGCACTGTTTAGCTGTCACTCCACTGGCCTCCTCCTCCCTCTGACCAGCCTGAGACAACCACTGATCTGCTTTGTCTCTTACATCTAATATGCTTGATATCTTACGGTGTAGCTTTGCCTCTGCCTGTCTTTTTAAATGGGTTTCTTTCACCTCACATATTTTTAAAGTTCATTAATTTTGCCTATATGTTATATTTTATTCCTTTTTATTGCCCGGTAACATTCCATTGTGTAAATGAGTGTATCATTTTATCCATTCATGAGCTGACGGACATGTGAGTTTTTTCTACTTCTGGCCATGAGCATTCCCATGCAAGTTTTTATACGGATGTTTCCATTTTTCTGGGGTATATGGCTAGGAAAGGAACTGCTGGGTGACATGATAGCTTTCTGCTTACCTTTGGGAGGAACTGCCAGACTGTTTTCCAAAGTGGTTGTACCGTGTTGTATTTCCACTAGCAGTGAATGAGGGTTCGTTTCTCTGTATTTACACCAGTACTTGTTATTCTTTCTTTTGTATTATAATTGTCCGAGTGGATATGAAATGGCATCTCACTATGATTTTGCTTTGGATTTTTCTGATGGCCAATGGTGTTCGGCAGTTTTTATATGTTTACTGCTATTTGTATATCCTTTGGAGATATAGTTATTTGGGTCCCTTGCCCATTTTTTAATTGGATTATTTGTTTTTATTGTTCAGTTGTAGGCATTCTTTATATATTCTAGATATAAGTCCTTTATCAGATATACGTTTTGTAAATAATTCTTTTCCATTCTTTTTTTTTTATTTACTTATTTTTAGAGATAGGGGAAGGGAGGGAGAAAGACAGGGAGAGAAACATCCATCTATAAGAGATATATCGATCAGTCACCTCTTGCACGCCACCAGCTGGGGGGGACCCGGCTGCAACCCAGGCATGTGACCTGACTGGGAATTGAACTGGCAACCTTTTGCTTCTCGGGCTGGCACTTAGTCAGTCCACTGAGCCACACCAGCCAGGGCATTGTTTTTCATTCTTTGCATTGTCTTTTTACCACTTTTTTATTAGTTTACTTTCTGTGGATTCCACATCTAAATGAAATCATGGTATTTGTCCTTTTTTTAAAGATTTTATTTATTTATTTTTAGAGAGGGAAGGAAGGGAGAAAGAGAGAGAAACATCAATGTGCGGTTGCTGGGGGTCATGGCCTGCAACCCAGGCATGTACCCTGAGTGGGAATCGAACCTGTGACACCTTGGTTTGCAACCCGTGAGCTATGGATTTTCAATCCACTGAGCTATGCCAGCCAGGGGTGGTATTTGTCTTTATGACTGACTCATTTCAACGTTTTACCTTTTTGATGGTGTCCGTTGATGTACAAAAGTTTTGAATTTTGATGAAGTCCCATTTATCTAATTTTTCTTTGGTTGCTTGTGCTTTTGGTATCAGACCTATGAAATTAAGGCCAAATCTAAGGTTGCACCCCAAAGTGATTGAGTTCCCTTCAACCACAAGGGTGAATCGCTGATCCTCGACCTGCCCCACGCTCAGAAAGTCGGTGGGGGGAGGAGTCAGTGGGGGAGGCAGGTAGGCAGGAACACCACCGAGCATACATGCTTCTCAGGTGATTTCGTGCCCTTGGTCAGTTTCCGGAGCACTGAAGCAGTTGCTTTGTCGTTTTTGTCCAGCTTTAAAGTTACCGTGTGGGGTGCAAACCTGTCTACCACCTCACTCAGCCGTAGTCAGAGCCCTGCTTGTTACCCATTCCTTTAAACATTGCTTTCAATTTTTCACGCCTTGTTTCACTATACTTTATTTTATTTTTTAAAAGATTTTATTTATTTATTTTTGAAGAGAAGGGAAAGGAGGCAGAGAAACATGATGTGTGAAAGAAACAGCAATTGGTTGCCTCTTTCACACCCCCATCTGGGGACTTGGCGTGTGAACCAGGTCTGTGCCCTGACTGGGAATCGAACCAATGACCTCTTGGTCCACAAGCCAGTGCTCAACCACTGAGCCACACCAGCCAGGGCTACTATACTTTTAGATTACTAATTCTCTCTCACACTTTTTGGCTACATTTAATCTGCTGTTTAACCTATACGTTGCATTTTATTTCAAGAGTGCTACTTTCCAATAGTTTGGCTTTCTTCCTTTTTTTTGTTTTTCTTCTTCACATCTGCCTGTTTACTCCTGATGGCCACTGTGTTGCAGGCTCATCCTTTATTTCTTCAAATGGTTTATCCAGAGCGGCGCTGTCTTCTCTCCCTGACAGTTTCAGTGTCTCTGTGAGCTGTGTCTGCTGACTGCTGCTCTCAGGGGCCTGTCTCTCGTGTGTTTTATGGTCTTTGTGTGTGAGCCCATGGCTTGATCTCTGTCTGTGGGGGTTGTGCATGCCTTAGCAGGGGAAGACTTCTTCCAGAGAGGGCCGACTTCTACTTCCGGCCGCTGGCCCCAGGCTTGGGAGTCCTGGTGGTGCTGCCTTCTCACTGCCATTCTGGCCCCAGTTTCCCCCTTTCTGTGGCCCTTCACCACCTCTTTTACTTCCCACAGCCCCCCAGATTGTATCCTAAGCAGGACACAATTGCTCTCCAGTGTGAGAGCCCCACCGGTCACCTCATCAGTCATACTACCAGAAGCAGAAGCGAAAGTTAACATTTTAACAGAAGGAGACTTGACTTGGGGTGGTGAAGACACAGTACAATATATAGATGTTGTATTATAGAATTGTACACCTGAAACCTATATAAGTTTGTTAACCAATGTCACCCAATAAGTTCAACTAAAAAACATTTGAACGCACTTGGACTACATACCAAACACTCTGTTAAGCCCCTCATGTGGGTTAAGCCCCTCGAACTTCACAGCAGCCCTGTAAGGCGTGTACTGTTGTCACCCATGTGTCATGGGTGAGGACACCAGGCCACAGAGAGGTCGAGCTACCTACCCAAGTTTTCACACGACTGCTCTGTCACTGAGCAAGAACGCAAAGCCTGGTGTCCGTCAGAGGACCCGTGCACGTTCTGGCCCACTGCGGCGTGGCGTCGGGGCTCTGTGCGCGCACCTGTGTGATGATGCGCGTGAGTAAACTTCAGCGTGTGTGCATGTGCCAGAGCGGCTGTTCGTGTGTCCACGGACCTGAATATCCCTGTTTGTGACTGTCTTCAGGGGTTCACTCTGATGTCATCTCAGTGTGGCCTCTACTAGCCACCCCATTTAAAATTATACTTATTCTGCCCTGGCTGGTGTGGCTCAGTTGGTTGAAGCATTGTTCCGTGCACAGAAAGGTTGCCGGTTCGATTCCGGGTCAGGGCACATGCCTGGGTTGCCGGTTTGGTCCCTGGTTGGGGTGTATGTACAAGGGGCAACTGATGTTTCTCTCCCACTCTCCCTCCCTTCCCCTCTTTCTAAAGCCAGTAAGCATGTCCTTAGGTGAGGTTATAAAAAGTTGTATTTTGTTCTCCTTCAATAATACTTCATAACTCTCTGATACATCACACATTTTACTTCTTTTTTTTATGTCCGCTCCCCCAACAGAACACGCGTTCACTCGGGCTGTGGGGGGAGGGACACCCCCTAGGCAGGGTGAGTGCAGCCCAAGCCCGGGCTGGAGGCTGTTGCGATAGTGCAGGAGCAGACGGTGGTGCCTTGATCTGGAGTGCGTAGTGGCGGAGGTGGTGACGAGGTGGATTAGGATGTGTTATAAAGACAGCAGACGGGGCTCACTGGGTCGGACGTGTGCAGCATAGGGATAAAGAGGCCAAGGTCGCGTGAGCAAGTAGGTGAATGCGAGAGATGGGGAGCACTGGGAAAGGGACAGATGCGGGGGGAAGGAGGTTGGGAAGCAAGGGGGGATGTTTTGGATATGCTGAGTGTGGGAGGCCAGTTAGCTCTCCGAGTGCAAATAATGAGAGGACAGTCCAGTATGAGTCTGGGGTTCAGGGAAGAGGAAGGAGCTCGAAATGGAAGCACTGACATCGTTGGCTTGTGGGTGATGACTGGACCTGTGAGGCTGGGCGACATCTCTTAGGGAGTGGGTGAGATGGAGAGTCAAAGAAGTTTCGGGGGGGGGGGGGACTGGAAGGTGTTGCCGTAGTCCGGGTCGGAGATGACGTCTGAACCCGTCAGGCACTGAGCAGGGGCAGGTCTCAGAAGAGCATGGAGGGAAAACCTGGTGATTTTGGCGCCATCCCCCCACAAAGACTGCCCTGATCACTTTTTGGGGTGCTCCCACAGTTCCCTGTGCCCCTGCGGCCTGAGGGAGGTCAGCTTCTGCAGAGCGCCCAAGACCCAGTGCTAATATGATTCCTCTCCAGTCCCTCATCCCCAGGCACAGCACCGGGCAGGGCCAAGGGCTCTTGGGTGGGTGAGAACAAATGCTGCGATCCCCTCTTCCTTCCCAGCTGCTCTTAAAGAACCAAAAAAGATGGTGCCCAAAACATCCCTCCCCACGGTCAAGAAGCTGATGACAGCCCACACTGGGCCCAGCAAAGCCAAGTAAGGAGCAGGGTGGGCTTGGGGGGAGGACGAGGGTGCAAAGGAAATGCCATTTCCTGTCCCACCCCGCCTGGGTCTGATGGGATGTGCTGCAGGCCGTCTGGGATACCTGGTGGAGATGGACAGAAGCGCCCCTCCCGGGACTCCGGTGGGTCTGGCTTGCCTCCCTCGGTGGGGTGAGGGCTGGGGGACAAAGACAGGGGGAGGAGGCTCAGCGTCCTGCTAGGCCTGGGCCCCTGATGGTCTGCTCTCACAGGCTCCAGTGGCAGCCTCCTCAGTGGGGGTTCCGGCCACCCTGGCAGAAAGCGGTCCAGAACCCAGGCTTCCCGGCAACAACCCACGGCCAGTCAGGTGAGAGGCCCGCGACGTGGAGGAGTGGGAGACCGCCCAGCAGAGGCTACTTCCCGGGGATGTGGGGTGTGAGGGTGAAGGATCCCAGGCCAAGGGGAGCCCTCAGCTGAGACCTTACCCCCGCCGCCACAGGAGGAAGAACGGAGGAATCGAGCAAAGGCCCCTTCTGCGAATAAAGCCCCTACTCTGGGCAAGACTCCCACCCCACGAAAGACCCCGTCTCTGGAGGAGGCCCCCAACCCAGAGGAAACGCTGACTCCAGATAAGACCCCCATCCCGGAGGAGACCCTGGCTCTAGAGGACAAGGCCCCCAGCCCAGATGGGGACGTTTCTGTGGGTGAGGCCCCTGCTCTAGGTGTCCTACCTGAAGATGAAGCCTCGGGCCCAAAGATGGCCCCTTCCGGGGAAGAGGCCTCCACCTTAGAGAAGGCCTTGACCCCAGATCAGATGCTCTCAGGAGAGGCCCCCCCTGGGGACAGCGCTCAGCTCCATCCCTTCCCTCTGGAGCCAGCCCTGACCAAGAGAGACTCGCTCTTGGTCAGTGAGGCTCAGTCCCAAGAGGAGGTCCACATGGCGGAGGAACACCCTCTGAATAGGAGGGACAGCTCTGCACTCCAGTCGGAGGCCGAGCCAGGGTCCCTGTCTGCCCTGGAGGAGGCTCACCCCCCAGAAGAGGCCGCCACCCTCCTGGAGGAGGTACCTGCGAAGGATGAGACTACAGCCAGAGAGGAGGCACCCCCTAAGGAGGCAGACCCAGCTCAAGAGAACCCACATCCTATCAAGCCGACTCCAGACCCTCAAGAGACTCTCAGCCTCCATTCATTCGTCCCGCAAAATCCCCCAAACAGCGAAAGTGACAGAAATGACGTAATAAGGCTACAGAACGAGGTGGAGTCTTTAAGGAGTGCCCTGGAGCTGATGGGGGTGCAGCTGGAGTAAGTGGGGGAGCGCAAGGAGGAGGTTGGAAAGAAAAGGGCGGGAGCCGCTCAAAGCGAGCCCTGCCCACCCCTCCCCCTCGCTGTCTTGTCCACAGACGAAAGCTGACCAACCTCTGGGAGGAGCTGAAGAGTGAGAGGGAGAAGCGCCAGTTGCTAGAGGTGCGTGTGGTGCGAACCCCTGCCTGGGAGGGCTGGTGGCCGGCTCTCCCCTGACGCCTTCTTCTCACTAGGTTCAGATGAAGCAGAGGACCCAGGAATCCGGGACCCCGAGCTCCAGCCATGCGCAGATGCACTGAGGGGGGTCCCGGGGAAAGACGACAGTGGGGGCCTGGAGGGGAGTCTGCTCCGGCCACCCACATCCTTGCGCAGGACTTTGGGAAACTCAAGAAAGTAAACTTTGCTGTCCACGCACACCCTGCCTGCCTGGTCTGTGCGGGGGCGGGGCCTTTGCGGCAGGGGCGGGGCCAGGCTGGCGCTCAGCATTCCCGGAGGTCTCTCCCTGGCACATCTGGCCAACATGTGGCTTTCATTACCATTCCCAAGGTCTGTGCGCGGCTATTTTTACCCACCGGATGGAGGGGGGGGGTGGAGGGGGCGTCTCCTTCGGACGCCAGCGGGCAGGAGGGGCCCAAGCTCAGGCAGGGTCAGGCCCTGCCTGCGGCCGGATTCCGGAATCCAGCTGTGCGCCAGAGGAACTGGTGGCCGGGCTTTCGAATCCCTGGATCCCTCCCAGTTGGCCCCACGGTCGTCAGCTCAGGACTCACAGAAACGCACCTCCACTCAGTCAGGCACACGTGGTTACGCTGGGGCTAAGAGCACCTTAGCGTCAAGGTCAGCCTGGCGCACGCGAGTGTGTGCGCGTGCGCGCGAGATTGCAATGATGCATGAACCCTGGGCCTCTGTAGGGATGGGTGACGTGCGTTCAGGCGCGTGCTGGTAAGGAATGCGTTTGTGAGTAAGGAATTCGAGTGATACTTGTTCTGAGGGAGACTGGTGAAGTGCTGGAGCGTGCCATCTGTGAAGTGAACGCAAGCATGTGCTGAGGACCGGGTGATGGAGGTGGGGTAGCCTGCATGGCAGGAGCCTGTGGAACGTTGGAGGCAGGGGTAACAGAGGGAGACTGAGTCACTAAGAATGCAGCTTTCATTGGTCACTTCACCTCTTAACCGTGCCCTGAAGCAGGGGTAGGGACCTGTGTCCTGCCCTCCCCCCAGGGCCTTGGGGCAGGACTGGGGAAGGGCGCCTCCCGGAGAGTGGGGATGCACGCCCGGTAGCACCGTGGGAGCTGTGGGGGCAGGGCCCACTTAGCACCGCAGTAGCTATGAGCTCAGGTGCACGTCCAGTACCTAGAGAGCCTTGCAGTGGGAACGAGGCCCACTTAGTAATAGTGCATGCGGCCCAGGGTGCCCGTGGCCGTGGGGCTGGGTCCCAGCGTGCCGGTGCCCAGCAGGTCCGGCTGCCCGGTGCGCCAGATCTCCCGCAAAATCCGTTCGCGTTCCTCCAGGCGCTGCGCCCGCTCCAGCTCCTCCGCTGAGGTGAAGACGTTAACGCTCAGGGGCCCATCGGGTTCCGCGGACAGCTCTGGACCAGGAAGCGTGTCGTCTTGGCCCAGTCGCGTCACCGTGTCCTCCTCGTCCTCGTCTTCGTCCTCCGCCTCTAGGGTGCTATGGCGGTCCCGGCGCAGCGCAGGGACCCGGGGCCGCGGGCGGGGCGCGCAGGAGATGCTGATGACTACCAGGCACAGGGTTAGCAGCAGGCCAAAGCAGACACCCAGCACGAAGTAGAGACCAAAGCTCTCAGGGTTAGCTGGAGGTCAGAGGGCAGAAGTCATGGAGGGGCCCTGGCTGGCGGGAGTCATTCCATTGAAAAGACTCCAGGTTTTAAGTTTGGGGGACAAGGACAGTACCTCCTATTTGAAGGACAGTAGGTAGCCGCCATCGGGCAGTGGGGGTCAGTGAGGGATGGGGGTAATTAGTTGTAGGTGACTAGCGGTGGGGGAGGGGTTACTATAGCAGCAGGGGTGAGGAGGGAAGGGGTGTAGTGGGGCCTGAGAAAGGGGCAGGGAAGGGTGCATTCCCGGCCGCCCTCACCGCGGATGTGCGCGTAGGCCGCCAGGCTGTTGCTGAGCAACTCCATGTCTCTTCTGGGGGCATCCATGCTGCTCTGGGGGGGCAACTCGCCTGTCGGCCTGCGGGGTCAGCACGATCAGATCCTAATCCCCAGCCTGAAGCTGACCCCGACCCCGCTTCCTTCTGGGGGCAGCTCCTCTCCCTGGAAGAGCAGCCGGAGGTCCACCCTGGAAAGAGCGCGCCCCGACTTCATTGCAGACTTGGGCCCTGCCTGGGGACCCCTGGGGGCGGACGCCCCTCCAACCTGGGGGTCAGGGAGTGGGCCGCAGGAGGCTCCGCCTCCTCGTGAGGTCCCCAAAAGAGGTCCGGTTTCGCTGTCCCGGGAGCGAGATGTTGGAGAACCACGGGTGCCTTCCGCTCTCTCCGGGCGAGCTCCGGCAAGGGGAGGCGGCCTCCCTCTCCCATCCTGCCTGCCCCCCGGGGACTCACCGGCTCCCAGGCCCCGACTCACTCACCGTCAGCGCCCTGTTTCTCCACAGACCCGTCCCAGCGCCTCCGGCGGTCGCACACAGCTGGGTCCGGCCACCCCGCCCGCTCGGCTCAGCTCCCAGGCCGCGGCAGCGCGGGCCGGACACGGGCCGATGGACCAGCCGGCGGAAAGTTTCCTCCGAGGAAAGAGGAGGGACGGGGCGGGGCGGGGCGGGGCGGGGCGGGGGAGGCGGGGAGGGAAAGGGCCGGCAGAGGACAGGCAGGGAGAGGAGGGGGAACGAGGCCTGCTGGGGCGTCTTATCCCCCCCCCCACAGGAAACCGCAGGGGAGGCGGGTTCCAGGGGCCCGCCCCCAGGCTACGAATAACAATAATAATAATGATGAGGATGGAGTTCTGCCTAGGTGCCAGTCAATGCGCTAAACCTTTTACAATATTATTTAATTTTTTTTAATAATCCTATATTTGGTGTCATTATTGCCACTTGACGGATACATAAACTGAGTCACGGAGAGATTGAAAAACTTGACGAAACAGGCAGGATTTGAACCCGCTGCTCTCTGAGCCTAGAGCCTGGCGGAGCCCTTAACCCTGTCCCTATACATTGCTCTCCCCCCTGGAAGCCTTCTCCCAGGGAAACTGCCTGCTTTTCCCCGGCCCAGATGTCAGTGCTCAGCCAGACCCTCAACCCAGGACCCAAGGGAAGGGGCTGTCATCCTCTCCTCCCAGGGCCCGGGCGTGAGTGTGTCCAGCTGGTGGAGCTCTGGTCAGCAGGGTTAATGAATGCTGGACTCAGGCTTCAAGCCAGGCCCAAGCCAGCCTTGCAGAACCCAGCCTGGGGCCTCCGAGGGCCTCTGTGTTCTGCACCAGAGTGCATGGCAAAAGTGCCTTTCCCTTCTGGCTACACTTGCCTGTGCACATGCATTTCTGCACGGGCTCAGGGCTTGTGTGTGAGACAAGTCGTGTGATCAGTGTGTGGGCCGGGGTCTTCCTGCGCAGATCCCAGCCCGGCCTCGTGGGCCCCCCTTCCTGTGCTGGGGCTGGGGTGAGGGGGAGGCTTTCTTGGCGGGAGCCTCAGGGAGGAGGAGGGAAGGAAGGGGGGAGAGGAAATTGCAGACATAGCTGAAGGCGCTGCCTGAGGCCTGTGGGCCAGTGACCCCCCTCTCTGCCCAGGCTGGAGACCCCCGCTCCAAGTCCGGAGTCGGGGTTCAAGCAGAGGGCAGATCTAGGTGGGAAAAGGACTAGGACTGGCTCTCCCACGGGTGGGAAAGAGGCTCCTGGGTGTCTTTGTGGCTGTTTGGTCTGTTTGGTGAGCATGTGGCACAGTTTCTGCCCACACTAGTATATTTCGTGTTGTATCTACTGGAGCCTTTTTGTGGGGATGGTCATGTCTGTCTGACTGACTGGCACTGCCTAGTAATGAGGGTTCAGCAGAGAGCAGCAAAACAGTCACAAATCTTTGCCTTAATGGAGCTAGCACTGAGGTGAACAGACAGACAGCACACGAAGAAGAGAATCTTGGCTGCTGCTGAACGTTCAGGATGACGGAATGCGGGAATCCATGATGGAGAACACCTGGGCGGCTCTGAGGGGCCCGCCGAGGTGAGAGGCAGCTGTGCCAGCATCTGGGCGGGGCCCAGTGTTGGGCAGGAAGGAGGGCCAGGGCCCTGAAGTAGTGTCCTGGGGTCCCTGTCCCAGGGCAGAGAGGCATGAGGGGGTGATGAGGGGTGAGGACAGGAAGAGGCGGTGGACCCTGTGGAGGAGCTTAGATGTTGCGTTATGTGGGGGGGAGCCCCTGGAGTTTTAATCAGGACAGTGTTGTGGTTCAGTGACACCCTTGGAGAGACCCCTCAGGGGCTCGGTGTGGGACGGGCCATGCGGGGTGAGAAGGGAAGCAGAGCTGTGAGCAGGCTGGCAGCCATCCTGGCCAGCAGCGGCAGAGGGCTTGGACCGGACGGGCTGTGGAGGAGGTGAGCGGAGGGAGTGTCAGTGGGACTTCCTGCTCGGAACGTGGGCGTGAGGGAGAGAGGAGTAGGGACAGCGACTCGGTGTTGGGCCCAGACACCTGAGGAAAGCCTAGGTAGGGAGCAGGTTCTGGGCAATCCGAGTTTCATTTGAGGTAGATTTGAGATGTCCAGGTGGGGTGTCTGACAGGCCGGCGGAGCCCCGAGGAGTCCGGGCTGGAAAAGTGTTTGTGAGTCCTTGACACCCAAGATGGATCGAACACCCTGGGAGTGGGTGAGATCACCCAGGGGGCAGGGAGAGAAGAGAAGGGGCCTGCAGCCTGAGGCCTGGGTGCTCCGACAGTGAGGGGTCGGCCAGGAGAGATGAGTGACGGGGCCGGAGGGAGACCTGGCCAGGACCAGGGCGCCATCAACCATGTTAAATCGGGCACAGAGGTGGAGGTGAGGCTGGAAGCTGACCACCAGCTGGGATATCAGTGGGTTTCCATGGTTGCATCAACAGCTGAATGCTGACCAACCGTGTGAAGATCAGTGCATGTCTCAGCTGTGCTCATGGGAGCGACCCTGGGTATTGGGGATGTGTGCCTCTGTGTGGCACACGCCTGTGTCTATCTGTGGGTGCTTGCCACTCTGGGGCGGGGGGCTGTGGGATTTTGGATATGGCCCCTATTCCCCAGCTGCCGCTAGGGTGCTCAGTCCTTCCGAGGGAGCTGAGGCCACACTGGGGTGAGGCCCTCACTTATCTGGCAACTAGCGCCAGTCCAGGCAGCACTGGCCCAGCCTTCGCCCACAGCATGGCCTCCGTCTTGGAGCTCGTCTGCATCCACTCGGCCCTTATGCTGCATTATGATGAGGTGACAGTGACGGAGGATAAGATCAATGCCCTCATTAAAGCAGCTGGTGCAAATGTTGAACCTTTCTGGCCAGGCTTGTTTGCAAAGGCCCTGGCCAATGTCAACATTGGGAGCCTCGTCTGCAGTGTAGGGGCTGGTGGACCTGTCCCAGCAGCCAGTGCGGCACCAGCAGGAGGTCCTGCCCCCTCCACTGCTATGGCCCCAGCTGAGGAGAAGAAAATGGAAGCAAAGAAAGAAGCACCTGAGGAGTCTGATGATGACCCTGAGGAGTCTGATGATGACATGGGCTTTGGTTTTCTTGACCAAATCTCTTTTGTAACACAGTCAATAAAAAGCTGAACTTAAAAAAGAAGATTTTGGATATGTTTGTGTTAAGCTATTTCATGTACCCCTGTGCTATGCACGTCTCTGGGTATCATTACCTACAGATAAAGGTGTGTCTGGGTTGGTGTGTGACATGTGTGTTTGGAGTGGGTCGGGTGTGACTCCACCCTGGGGAGCAGGTGGCCAGGCTGGAGCAGAGTGGGGGTTGAGATGGCTGCTGGTCCCTTCAGAGAGAGACACATGGGAGGGCGATACATGCAGCCAGGCCAGGCCGGGTGGAAGTGACTGCCTTTCCCTGGAGGGTTGGAAGAAGCTGTGGGCTGTTCCTGCAGGCCCTGGGGGAGATGCCCAGAGCCTCTGGCCCCTGTGGCCATCTGCACAGCCCTTGTGAGCTCCTGGCCACCTGCCTATCTGCTTTTCTGCTTGCCTCTCCCTGCCGGCCGGCCCGTCTGTAGGTCTGCCCAGCCACCTGTTTTCCCTGTGTGCTGGGTGTGCTGACCGGACCTCTCTGCGTATCTATCACCTGCCTGCTTGGCTCCCATTCCCTCTGCCCACCTGCTGATCTTCCTCCCTCTGGTGGCCTAGGACTGACCTGCCCACCTGCCCACTTGTCGGTGGCCTCTCTGCCTGCCCTCTTGTCTGTTTGTGAGACTAGAGATTAGCCACCTTGGGAGGCACAAAGAGTGATCTTAAGATGAAACTCGGGAAAGGCAGGTGTTGATGGGAGGTCAGAGGGCAGAGAGATTCAGAGACTTTTGGTGGGGCTGGGTGCGTGGCTGGTGTATTCAGGGCCTAATGCGAACCCTTCCCCAGCCGCTCTGTTCGCCTGGCTGCTCTGTTCCTCACACTGGGACCTCACCCCACAGTGGGGTAAGAGGCTGCCTAGATCTTGGATGGAGGGAAGAAGGAGACTCAAGGACTCCCAAGACGGGCCTGGTCCTCTGAATGCCTCCTCAGCAGCTGGGACAGCTGTTGGGAAGAAGGCAATGTGAGAGTTTGCAAAATGAATAATAGCAATTGCTATTGCGTACCGTCCTGTACCTGGTGTAACAGTGAGAAAGTGTAACCCACCCCACCATCCTTTTGACATTGTTTCTGTAAGTGCTGACTTGAATATGCAGCTTGTTTGTATAAGAATCCTAGGAACTAACTTCAGAAGATACAGAATCTGGCCTTCAGGCATCCCAGCTCTGGGAGATTCGCTGACCTTCAGCTGTGGTGGCAGGATGACGTGAAGCCAGGGTGACATGAAGCCAGGATGACTAAACCAGGATGACCCGCACCGGGCCATCCCTCTCCTTATCAAAATGGACTGTGCTTGTCTGCACGTAGAGAACTTCCCATCCCCCTCTCTTGATCTTTGTTCTGTTCCCATCTCCCTCCTTATAAAAACCTTTGCCTCCACTGAGAGGTGGAGGTGGGCTTTGTGACCTAAGTCCCCCATCTTCCACATGGCCTGCATCTGAACAAACCACTTTCCTTTCCATCAGCACCTGCCTCTCGAGTACTGGCTTGCGTGGCGGCAGGCAGCCGGCCCCGCTTTCGGTTACGCGGGCTCTCTGCTAGCTGCTGTGCTGCCTCACCCCCTCAAGTCCCCTCAGTAACCGTGTAATTTGTAGGGTGACCCCTATTTCAGAGGCGAGGCAGTGAGGCTCAGAGAGGTTGCGTAACAAAGGTGCAGCCCCATGGATGTAAGGGGCGGGACCTGACTTTGAACTTCAGAGCCCAGGCTCCCCGCCAGTCTTCCACAGGCCATGGCCCTCCACCCCATCAGACCCAGAGTCACGATTCTTTGCATTGCTCCTTTTATGCTCCTGAAAGAAATTTATGGTTAATATGCCCTGCTCCATATCTAATTTAAAATGCATATATACACACACATACATACATATATGTGTGTCTTAGAAATGAATGGTAGGTATTCGTGAGGTGACCGGTTGCGGGGACTGTGAGAGGCCTGAGCGCAGATCTGCACCGGGAGGCTGGCAGGTGTTCGCGTCTGAAACAGCGACGAGCTCTCGGTGAGATTCCGAACAGGACAGAGCGCAGGCTCCCTCCGCACCACACAGTAGCTGCATCCCCGACACTTTCATCTGCACTCTGTGCACTCAAGTCCTTTCTGTTTACGTTTACAGCGGGGTTAGATTCTTGGCTCTGGTTACTATAAACAAGTTTTCGCTCATGTCCTGCAGGCTGTGGAATCTGCCTTCCTTGTGGGGTTGTCTGGGGTCCCTGGCCCCCACCCCCACACAGGCACAGAGCAGATTCCCGCCCATGGGGACCTCCACAGTCGACTGGGGGAACAGGTGTCATCAATGGTCACGCAGGTGATCTGAGGGGCCATGATAAGCACGATGGAGCAGAGAGCGGGGTGAGGAGTTAAAGGAGACCAGGTGTACATGGTCAGGGAAGGTAGGTAGTACCTGCTCTGATGAGGTAGTGTTTTGAGCAGAGGGAAATGAGGGAGGGAGCCATGCAAATATGTGGGGAAGAACCTTCTAGAGAGAATAGCCAATGAAAAGGCCCCGTGGTGGAAGCTGCGCCTGGCCTGGTCAGAGTCAGCAAGGAGGCACGTGAGGCTGGGGCCGAGGGGAAAGGGGGGGCTGAGAGGGAGGCGAGGAGGCCAGGTTGGTGCCTCGTGGTGCGGAGCTTTCTAAGCTCAGACAGGCCTCTGGGTGTTGTCCTGAGCAAGGCAGAAGCTACCAGGGGGCTGTCAGCAGGAGAGAGAAAACGTCCGATTTTTGAAAGGCTCACTCACTCTGGCTGCCGTGTGGCTGGGCTGTCCCAGGGAACAGGGACACCAGGAAGCGAGAGTGGGGCTCAGATCTCCGACGGGGTTCTGGCGGGGCGCTGTGAGCAGTGGCAGAGGGGACATGGGGCGTGAGAGAGAGGGACAGACGTGAGATCACGGCTGACTTGGCTTGGGGGCCTGAGCGACTCAGCCTAGGAGGGAGACGCCATTTCCTCACTTCCTTTCCCATTTCGGGTAGCTGGGCGGCCCTGCCGGCCGCTCTCTGAAACCTCTCTGTGAGCACAATGGAGACCAGGCAGTGGCTACAACGGCCCGAATTCCTGGGTTCTTTTTTGACTTCTCAGGAGCCCAGGAGGCTGTCAAACCCACCCACACTGCCGGCCCTCCCCGCTTCCTTTGCTTCAGGGGCTCACAATAAAAACTGGTGGAGAGCGATGCGGCGTGCGAGCTGCGAGCCAGGCTGGCTCTAGGTACAAAACAGCCCCTCCCCGCTCGCAGCTTGCTGCCCCGGGCATTGCTGAGTGCAGGCCTGACACATGCGGGTGCTGAGGCGGCCCCAGCACAGAACAGAGGCTGCTCAGGGGGAGCTCAGGAGGGAGGCTGAGAGTGGAGGCGGGCCCAGGGTGGCCGTGGGAAGAGCCCGAGGTTGGCAGTGCTGGGAGGGCTGTGAGGGCCCCTTCTGGCGGTGCATCCAGGACAGCTAGCTCCACAGATGCGATATGGCTGAGATGGAACTGGCGAAATTCCTATAGATTTGGGAGTGGCCAGGAAGGTGGGGAGCCGTGTGGATGCTGGGGTGGGTGTGGGGCTGTGGGGTGAAAGTGGGGACTCGGGGCCTGGCGGTCAGATCTGAACCAGAAACTTCCCACCTCCTGGGGCTCCTCCTGCATGGGTCTCCGTTCCTTTTGTGACCAGGGCCTGAGTGGGGCTCCTGAGCACAAAGGTAAGTCTGCCAGACCCTGTGCTGTGCCTGGGGAGGGGCCAGCCTACCTTCAGTTTCATTGCTCCAGTGCTCGCTCTGCAGTCTAAATTTAAGCAAAGGAAGGAAGGAAAGAAAGGAAGGAAGTCCCTTGGCTTCCTATTGAGGGGAGGTAAGGAGCGGGCAATTCAGGAAAGCCTGGCTTGGCCCTTATTACCCCAGCTGCCCTGAGTGGGCCTGTGGGCACCGGGATGGGCTCTGTTTGGTTAAGTTCTCCCCACCTCGGGGGCTTGGCAAGGGGGAGGATCAATACTCTGCAAGCAGCCGCCGCTCTGAAACACCTCCTTCCTGCACAGGTCCCTGCTGAGCCAAGCCAAGACAATCCAAGCAGGGAGTTCCCTCTTGGTTACTTGGTGGGGCTGGACCAGCCGGTCCAGGAAAATACTGGAGATTTCTGGTGCCCTCCCCCATGCAAGACAGTGATGGCATGTAGCTGGCTGGCTGCCTGCCCAGGTGGGGGGGCGGTGGCTATCCTGCGCACCTGGTGGTTGGTAGAGCCCAGCGCAGCAGGGACCCTGCCCTGCTGGGCTGGGACGGCAGGAAAACCAGCTGGTGGGAGACTCGGAGGCGCAGGTGACAGGGGCAAGAAGAGCAGACAGCACAGGCCACGGTGGCTCCAGAACAGGAAATTTTATTGCTGACATGCAGGAAGAGTCCCCATGTAGTACAAAAATATGTCTTTATACAAATTTTTTTGTGGCTTTTTCTGTTTTGTTTCTTTACAACTGGACTTCTCTCAGCATGTGACGCCCAGTGTGAGCAGACCCAACCTCCTCTCGTTTGCTTTGCTCGAAATGCGATCAGACACATGGGTTGGCCTCGGAAGGGACCTCTGTCTGATAGGGTTTGCAGACTCGGAGGGTATTGCTTTTTTCAGGAGGAGAAAGACCACATGTGGCCAGCAGGCGCAGAGGGCCTGGGCAGGCTGCTGGGCAAGGGGCACAGCTGAGCGCCTCACAGGGACAGTCACAGGGGCCGGAGCCCTAGGCCAGACTGCATTTCTACTCCATTAGGAGACTTCTTCTTGAAATAAATATAGAAAAGAGGACATCCCTCGACCCCATAGCATGAGACCCTGGCTCTCAGCAGCCAGACAGCTGGCGGAGGCAGGGCTTGCTGCTCCAGGCGAGTAAGTGCTGGGCTCAGGCGGGCTCCCTCAGCCCCACTGAGGCAGAGGCACAAGGCGCCCAAGTGCTGGGAAGGGGTGTGGGAAGGAAGGGGCGTGGGTGGCCCTGCTACTGCTGGCAAGAGGTGGCCCCATTTTTTCCAGATGGGGAAACTGAGGCACAAGGAGGTTTGGGAACTTGCCCCAAGTCACTCACAGTGAGTCAGCTTTTGGGGAGGGGGCAGCTCACACTGGGAAACAAGGTCACACAGACCTTGGTCGCCTTCCCACTGGGGAGCGGGGACAGGCAGGAAGGGCTGAAGGGCCCAGGGCGGCCTGGAAGGGAACTCTTGGCCTTTCCAAGGGGGTCTGTGGGGGGCCAAGGGGAGGTCTTTGCTTGGCACTGGGCAGGGCCAAGTCCAGCGAGGGAGTGGGGAGGGCAGGGAGGGGAGGAGAGGGGAGGGCATTCTGGCGAGAACAGCATTTCTGGCAAGACGGGCATCCACTTCAAAATCTCGGCTCAAAGAGGGCAGCAGGGCTGTTCTCAGACCAGACAAGGCCCCTGGTGTCTGCAGTTCTTCCCACAGGCCCTGCAGCCCAGTGAAGGGCCCCGGCCGGGGTGTGCCAGGAGAGACACCGCATCTACTAGGGGGCAAGGGTGGGAGGGGCGGCGCCCCCACCACTCTCCACAGAGTGGGGTGGGAGGCGCGGGGCAGAGCCCGCCTGTCCGAGGCCAGCCCCACACACCCCAGCCCGACCCCAGGCCCTCTTTCACATCTGTGTCAGCGTGACCTCGGCACGCAGCGAGGGCGGGGAAGGACCCCAGGGTTAATGCATGTGTGCAGCACCTCAGAGACGCTACTGAGATGGGAGAAAGAGAACCAAGTCGAGAAAGGCCCCCCATCACCAGAGACAAGAGGACTGGTGGGCTGGAGGTGGAGAGGGGCTGGCAAGAAGGGGCTTTCAGAGCCTGGGGGTGGGGAGGGGGCCATCGGTGGGCTGTGGACTCCCTGCTGTCTGGCCAGGCTGGGGCAGGGAGTGGCCATGGGCCGAGCCACCTGGTCATGGGAGAGAAGTTGGTTTCAGTATAAAAATAAATATATTTGAATTCCACTTAAGATGAGGTGAAGGTTTTCCAAAGCTTGGATGGAAGAGCCTGGGGTCAGAAGGGGAGGGAGGGGCCTGGGGGGGCGTGGGGGGTGGGCGTTCGTTCTGGGAGCCAGCAGCGAGCTGCACGTTCAGCTTATTTGGACTGTGGGGAGCAGCTGCCTGGCCAGGCGGCTGGATGGGCTCCTCCTCCTCCTCCTCCCTCTCACTCAGTCCAGAGACAGCATGGTTAAAGAGACAGAGGTAGATTAAAACGTCATGATTAAAAGCAGATTAGTTATCTAGGCTTCTCAGATTAAAAAACCAAACAATCAAGCAATCATTCCAAAAGGTAGCTTCGTGGTACCTCTGCTGACCCCATGTGTGACCTGGGCTGTCCCTGCCTGTCCCTGTGGCAGCCTGGGAGAGAGTCCAGCGTGCCAGGGCCCAGCCCCGCAGCCAGGTGTTGGCCGGGGGCCGGGAAGAGGTGGTGGGTGGAGCTGGTACCCCGGCCCGAGGCTGCTATTTCCGCAGGCAGCGCTGCGCCAGGATGGCTGCGTCCAAGGGGTTCATGGGCTGCGCGTCGTGGCCCAGCCGGCGCACCAGTGGCGCGCCGCCGAACTGCCGCTTGGGCACCCAGCTCCGGGCCTCGTGTATGGAGCTCTTCTCCTCGGCCAGCAGCAGCTGCTGCCGCATGTAGTTCTCAAACTCGTACTGGGAGCACTCCTCCGTCACCTTCGCCTTCGCGGCACAGGGGGGAGACAGAGACAAATGAGAGAGAGAGAGAGAGAGAGAGAGAGAGAGAGAGAGAGAGAGTCGGAGACGGAGAGAGGAGAGCACAGCAGTGTTAGATCGACTGGCTCCAGAGGCTCCCTGCCCAGGTACCACACCTTCGGACCCCTGTCTACCTGGGTGGCAGAGAGCCTGGGTCCCTGAAGCTCTCCAGCCAACCTGGACCTCGCCTCACGGGCCACCCCCTTCCTAATTCACTGACCTTGGGGGAGGTTGAGTTACTTTCGAAGACTTAGCTTCCTCGCCTGTGAAGTGGGGCAGTCATCTCCCCTCAGAGAGGCTGTCGAAGGCCCTGGGGGCCCAGTGCAGGGCAGGTGTTAAAAGACAGGCCTGGGGCTGGGGTGCTCTGCACCTGGGCAGCCGTGTTTCCCTATCTTGCTCCATGCTAAGCCCCCCGGAGTGGCCCAGGCAGACGGCAGCGAACTAAGTGGTCGGTCCCTGTGTTACCCAGCAGAGGGCAAAAGCAGGGCTGTGGAATCAGAACTGGGTTCAAGGTTCAACTCTAGTTCCCAGCTGTGTGACTCTGGGTAACTTATTTTACTTCTCTGAGCCTCAGGTCCCCTTGCAAAGTGAGGGTAAGGTCACAGGCCCCACAGGATGGAATGAGACGTGCCGGGGTGGGCACTCCCGTGTGCTGTGCGTGTGCAGGTCGTTCTAGCTGCTGGGCGGGCCGGGGACGGTGGGAGCCAGGGACTCCCCAGGGCTGGGAGGCTTTGCTGTGGCACTCCAGGCTGGGCCAGGGAGGGACGGGACAGCGTCCCTGCCAAGGGCCGGGCCGAGCTCTGCCCTCCAGGGGGCACCCTAAGATCACCCAGTAGCTGCGCCTAGTGCTCAGGTCTCTGTTCCCACCCGGGGCCCAGCACTTTCTCCAGTGCAGGGCACAGAAGAGAGAAAACTGGGAGAAAATGAATCATCTGAGAAATGAAAAGCAGGAAGGTTGAGAGAGAACCCCATGAGTCAGAGGGGCAGAGAATGTGACTGTTTAAAGGGCCAACACGTGGCAGAGCACTTGGGCAGGAAGAGGAAGCTGAGAGAGGGCCAGGCCGGGCCACTGTGAGGCCTCCGGCTGCTGCGGGGCCCCCACCTCATCTGGCCCAGGCCCTCTCCTCTCTCCGGCCACAGAAGCGCCAGCTGAGCCAGGCCCCGGCAGGCCCCAGGGAGCGCAGGACCCGCACTTCGGGCTCCCTCCCTACTCTGAGAGCGGGAATGAAGCCGAGAAGGCCCTGCAGCCCGCTGGGAGCTGCCACCTCTGCCCCTGCCCCAGCTGCCCTCCCTGGAGGCTGGTCCCTCAGGACTTGGGTGACAGCCTGTCTGCCCCTCCCAACTCACCTCCTGGGAGCTGTCTGCACTGCTCATTTGGTCGTCGATGTCCGGCACCACTTGCAAAGGCCCGCTCAGGGATGACAGGGACTGCCTGCAGGGGGGCAGTGGCGTCAGGTGGGCCCCAGGCTGCCCGCAGCCCCTGCTCCCCAGAAAGGCCAGGCCCCCAGTGCTCTAAGCCTTGGCTGGAGTCAGCAGACCTGGGGTGGGTCCCAGCTCAGCCCCTTCCCGACACGATCAACTCTGCTTCTCCAAAACTCAGTGTTCTCATCTAATAACGGGGGACAACTTCCACTTCAGAGGCTGTTGTGGGAACTCAATGAGATACGGCCCGTCCGCCCTGGGCACTGACGGGCAGGCAGGAGGTGCCAGGTGCTCAGTTTTGCTGGCACCTCCTGATCTGGCCCACAGGGAAAGTCTGGAAATTTGACTCTGCCGGGCAGAGCAACAGGCCCACCCTCACACTTCTTCTCAGGGTAGGACGGGCAGTGCTGGAGGAGGGGCAGGCCCCACCCTGCGCCAGCCCACTCACCACGACGCGATGATGGCACTGAGGGCCTCCAGGACGTCAGCGGCGGCCAGGCGCTGCTGGGGGTCGAGGACCAGCAGTTTCCGGATGAGACACACGGTGCTCTCAGAAACCCGCCCGTCCCTGATAAAGCAGCCGGAGAGGGCAGGGCTCAGGTGGGGTGGGCTGGTGCTGGGTCTCAGACCCGGGACTCCAAGCCTCACTGTGCAGTTTCTGCTCCCTGCGCCTGCCCGGCTGGGCTTCCCTCCCCTCCCCAGGGAGGCAGGACTCACTCAGGGATGGTGTACTCGGCGGCCTTGATCTTGCGGAAGAGCTCCTGCGGGATGCTGTCGTAGAAGGGGAACTGGCCGTAGAGCATGGTGAAGAGCACCACGCCCAGGGCCCACATGTCGCTCGGCTTGCCCCGGTACGGCCGGCCTGTGGGACACGATGCACGCACACTTAGCGCAGGGCCGGGAAAGAGGACGGCCCTGGGACCCTATCAGCTTACCAGCTAGCTACCTGCCTGAGATCCTATCCAGCGGCTCCCTCCACCTTGCCACCCTCACTTCTGGTCTCCTGCCCGCCTTCCCCCGGAGCAAACCGCACAGGCTTAGTCCAGGGAGCTTTTCCCATGCTGGTCCCTCCCCTGCTCTGCAGGCTGGTCCTGCTCATGCTCTTGAGACCTGGCCCCGCAGGGCAACACCCCACCTCGGGCGTGCCTCCTGCCCCGTCCTCTGCCAGACTGCGCGGTCCGGCTGCTGGGCCTGCTCTCTGGCCCCAGCTCCCAGCAGAGCGCCTCACAGAGCAGGTGGCCAATGTGTGTGTGGAACAGAGGGCTAACGGGCTCTGGGCGAGTCAGCCACAATCCCGTCACTCTTCCCTCCTAGCACTTGCACAACCTGTAAGGATCCTTTTCTTTGTCTGGGAGAAGGATTCCCCATCTCCCCCACTGGAAGCTGAGTCCTCACACACAGAAGCCTCTCTGCTTTGCTCACTGTTGAGCCCAGTGCCTGCCTAGCATGGACTCTCGTTTGCTAAGTGAAGGACTCTCCAGTTAAGTAAACTCTGTCCTAGCACTGGAAGAAACACTTTTATCTCATGAAATCTCTACCACAACTCTATGAATGAGATGTTTTCTGTTTTTCTGAAGAGGAAGATGAGGCCCAGGAGTGTAATCTGTCCAGGTCACACAGCTGACTGTAAAAGCCTTCCCTTCCTATGTCCAGGGCAGCCCTCCGGCAGGCTAGCCACCGCCTAGCCCGCTCCACCGCAGGACAGGAGAACCGCCCTCCGAAAGCCCCTGCCCAGCCCCTGGGATGGCACCCTGCCCGGCACACCAGCAGGCCCTGAACACGGCCCAGCCCTCCAGTGTGGAGGAGGCCCCCGGCACCAGGCAGTGCCCGGACAACTGCCACCTCTCCTCTGGGTCCCAAAGCCTCCTGGGTGGCTGATGGTGCCTTGGGGTGCGGGACACTGGTTCCCAAGGGCTCAGCAGCCCCACTGAAGGTCAAGCAGTGTAGGGGGCGGGAGTGTGCACAGAGGCCCCGTCTCCTGCATGTGGGAGGGGCGGGAGCTGACAGAGGCCCGTGGTCCCCTAAGGGATCAGGGCAGAGGGACCCGATCTGGTAAAGGATGAGCTGGGGAAGGAAGGAAAGCCTATGGTGAAACAGGATAAAATAAAAACCAGGAGCCTGGGTGTGGGCGGAGACAGCCCTGGAGCCCAGCCTCTGGGTTCATTATTAGCTGTGACTTTGGACAGGAGACACACACTCTCTGAGCCTTGGCTTTCTCGTCTGTAAAAAAGGAACTTCGAGTGTTTACCTCACAAGGCAGCTGTGTGTTTTTAAACAGATAATGCGTGTCGTGCTCAAGCACAGTGCCTGGTACTTAGACATACAATTGGCAGTTAATAATAACTGTGTAACCGCCTTATTTATCTTGTGTATTACCTGTCTCAGCCCCCATCCACAGCTCACCATCCACAGAGGCAGGGGTGTTAGTCTGCCTGATAGATACCGCTGTATCCAAAGTGTCTAGAACAGAACCTTGCACACGGAAGGCCCCTGGTAGGTACATTCTAGCAGAATGAATGAGTGAATGAATGAATGTCTTCAAAATGCATATTTCCTCATGGCACACTCAGTGAGGACCTGCTCCATGGCTTCCTTTAGCCCTTGAAATACAAGGTGACGCTTCTCAATAAGGCCTCCATCAGGCCTTTCGTGGCCTGGCCCGTGCCCACCTCTCTGGCCTTGCACCAGGCTCACTTTCTGAGTAGCAGCCACCGGGGGGTCCGGCTGGTTCTCCCCAAGTGCACTGTGCCGCCTGCACCTTGTCACACTCCCCGCTGATTCCCTCTTATCCTCACCAATCCAGCTCGGACGCCACTTCCTCGGGGAAGTCCTTCAAGTGCCCCACGTTTACACTCTCAGAATTCTCTCCCGCCAAGCACTAACCCCAGAGAGCAACCAGACAGACAGAGTTTGCCGAGTGAACAGGCTGCTGCGGTGCCGGGCTGTGTCGTGGCCAGCGGCCCGCTGCCGGGCCCAGTGCACATACCGCTGAGCACGTCTGGGCTGATGTAGGCGGGGCTCCCCCTCTGGTCCTTCAGCAGGTCCCCCTCGCTCACGAGGTGCTTCCCGAGGCAGAAGTTGGTGATGGTTATCCGATGCGTCCTGGGAACGGGAGGCAGAGAGTGAACACGTCTTGGTGTCTGTCCCCACGGGCACCCTGTTGCCCTCACCTCTTGTCCAGGGTGCAAAGAAATCACACCCACATCCTCTCTGCTCCCCTGACCCCGACTGCTTTCCCCATGGCTACGTGGGGAGTGCCTGGGTCTGCCTCTGGCTGGTCACTCTCGCTTGCCACCTGCTGAGCTGCCCAGGTGGGGATCTGAGTCACTCTGAGCCAGTGAGTGCTTCCAGGGCGCCCCCCCCTGGACCTGCCACCCTGGCTGCGTCTCAGGTGGGAGAGCTCAGGGCTTGGAACACCTTGCAGAGAGTCCCCAGACAAACTCACATAATGTCCGGACTGGGAGTGACCAGGGATTTCATTCCATTCCCTCATTTACACATGAGGAAAAGGTCCAGCAGAGTTTGGAGCCCACCCTTGGGTGCCACTTTTGTTTCCTTTGCTCATCGCTTTGGCCGTCACCCACATCGTTATCAGTCGGCATCACTGACAGCCCTGGAAGCTAACGTGTGTCCTGAGCACAGGCCCTGGCCACAGTGCCTGGTGTGGGCCATTCCCATCCACCCTCACAACAGCCCAGGAGGGATTTCACAGGTGACGCAACGAAGGCACAGAGAAGTGCAGGTGTGTCTAGGGTCACACAGCTACTGAGTGCCGGGGCAGCAGCCACACCTGGTCTGTCTGACCCCAGGGCCTGCCATCTGGACTGACACCGCCCGGGTGCCCACTGTGTCCCTGGATAGTGCCCAGCCCCTGACTTTCCCTTCCTTTCCATCCAAGCTGACTCACTCGTCTTGTACTTTAGATTCTGCCCTGACCTAGAAAACCATGGAGTCCCCCATCTGAGAGTTATGGTGGAGGGCAGCTTTGGGCTCTGATCCTTTCTAGGACACTCACAAGGTGAGCAAAAGGAAGTGGCCCAGAGGACGCCTTACATTACACTCGGGGGGTGGGAGGGACGGGCAGGCCCCCTACAAGAGGCCCAGGAAAGGCTTCTTTGCCCCGCAGGGGACAGCCAGTGAGGAAGGGCGCTTCTCTATCCACAGAGGACCAGGAGTCACTGCCCAGTCCTGTCTGCTGGCTGGCAGAGAAGCCAGGGAGGATGGCAGGAAGGGAAGCCACACAAGGGGTCCCAGGACCACCTCTCAAGGGTGGAGAGGAGGGTGGGCTCAGAGGTGCAGGTTACGTGGGGCTGAGGGTGGAATTCCCCAGCAGCAGCGTCCAAGTGACTCCCAGGGCCCTTCGGCTATCTCGGGGAATTCTGCTGGCACGGGGCTCGGTGCAAAACAAAAGCCAGTCTGTCCTCCGCATTCCCAGTGAAATGTCGGCTCTCCTCTCCACGCTGGCCCGCCCGGCCAGATGCCACAGGAGTCAGACTGGTGGCCTCCAGGGTGCTAGAGCCCGAAGGGGCAGGCCAAGGATCATGGCACGCACGTTGAGAGGCGGACTGCCAGCTCTGAACTGCCCACTCTCGGTCCTGACTGTGGGACAGCTCAGCCTCTCAAGTGCAAGATCCCCACAGAGCAGAAGCACTGCGTGTCCTCCCCTTGCTCAGAGACGGCCACGGCGACTGGCTACGCATCCTGCTGGCATTCTCTGGGGCTCACAACACGGGGAAGAGGACCACTTGGGGGGAGTCTGGTGGGCTTGGGAGTCAGATTCCTGGGTTGCAATCCTGGCTTTGCCACTTCCTGGCTGTGTGGTCCTGGGCATGTAATTTAATATCTCGCTAAACCTCAATTTCCTCATATGTAAAACAGGGATAATATTAGCACCTAACTCCCAGGACCGCGTTAGGATCTAACGAGGAAAAATTTAATCTCAGGGAAAGCACTGAGCCCAGGGCCAGGTGAACGGTCACTGATTAGTACCTGCTAACTCGGACGAGCGTGTCATCCTCCAACATGGGCAGAGGCTACCAACGGGACACCCTGGGAAAGACACCATGTCTGAGGCATCAGAGGTGCCACATGGTGACCACAGGCCCTGGAGCCCACATGCTAGCGTGGCTGAGCCTTCCACTCAACGCTGCAGCAGGACCTGCCAGCCCTGTGTGCACGGGGCAGGGCGGGGGCTGGAGGAAAACGCGTCGAGACTCTGCCGGGCTGGGCCCAGGGTCCACTTGGCCTGCACTGCTCTGCCCATCGAGGACCCTGGAGTCTCTCCTACAGGAAACCACATGGCCAGCTCCGAGACCTCCTGAAGCTTGGCGACACTCCCTGCCCAGCCACCACCTCCCAAGTTGGCTGGTGGCACACAGATCCTGGGAGTCCAGACCCCCCAGGCTCGTGCTGGCAGGAGGCGGTGAGGGAGGTGAGAGACGGAGGGAGGGAGCTCTGTGTCAGCAGGACCCGCTCTGAGTGAGTCACCCTTCAGCTATGGCCCTTTGGGCTACCACAGTGTTTTTCTCCTTTTCTAGGAACTTGATGTGCAACTTGCCTGCCCAAAAAGAAAGGAGGAAGAGGAACCCAAAGCAAACCTCACATAACCCCAAAAGGGGATTTCAGATTTCAGCCCTGGCCTTCCATCCAAAGCACAGTGAACTTGTCCCTGCAGCTGCCTGGCAAACACTCCTCCTGGTTTCCTCCCCTGGGAGCTCTGTTCCGCTGTGAGGACCAGACAAGGCCTCCATCTGGAGTGAGGGCCTGGCCTGAGGGGCAGGAGGGGCTGGGGCTCCTCCAGGCCGACTGAGAGAGGATGACCTTGAGCGGAGTGGGGTGGGCCCCGACACCCAGTCAGGTCTGGCTGCACCACATCACCCTGCCCCTTTCCAGAACAGCCATGACTCAAGTGAGAGGTGGCCAGAACCTCTGTCCACTCCAACACAAAAAGGGGACTATCAGAGCAAAGGAGCGCAGCCAAGACGCAGGGTCTGAATGAGGCGCTGGTGCTCCACAATCTGAGAAGAACGCACGCACGCACCCACAAGCTGCTGCAGCCACACTGGGGTTACTCAAGAGGGCTGTGACTTTCCCAGACCTGAGGGGGCCTAGAGAAGTGAGAGGCAGAAGCAAACCCATCACGGAGACAAGGAGGCCGGGGCACTGGGGTGCAAGTTCCCCTAACAGCCTCGGGGTGTCACTGGAGCCAACGAGTGGCTCTGTGGAAGGCTGCACAGGACATGGGCTCTGCAGCCACGTGGACCTCAGCAGTCAAAAAATGTGCCCTCTCTTTGTGAATAGTGAGCCTGAAGTCCACAGCAGGACGGTGCTGACCCAGCGTCCCACAGAGGGCCAGCGCTGAGTTTCCCACGCTAAAACACTCCACCCTTCGGGCCGGATGACTGGTGTTCTCTGACACCTGCTCTCTTCACGCGGTTCAGAACTGGGCCCCTGCCACAGCATCCTTGGCCACTCAACACAAGCGGGCCTCATCCCCAGAGGGGAGCAAGGGTGTGGGCCCTGGTTGGTCTGGCACGGGGGGTGCGCCGACAAGGGCCAAGTCCGGTAGGGCAGTTTCCGGTCATGGCCAGTATCAGCGGAAAGGTATAATCTCCTCCGCTCTCCCGGATGAGGACACGAAAGTCAGAAGTGCTGGCTACTTTAGCAGCTTTGCTGTGCATGAATGAATTGATCAGTGAATAGATAATCTAACAAACAAACTCAGGTCTCAAGGGCACCTAGAAGGCAGTGCCAGGCTGGGAGCCAGGTCTGAGCCCCAAGTCCTGCTCCTCTGGGCTTCCTTAACTCTCTCAGGAGTCTCTGTCTCCTTCTCTCCTCCCTCGGAGCACAACGGGGTCAGGCCGGCAAACCTTGACTTGCCCTTCATGAATTGACCTGGGTGGCTGAATCACCTCCCCACCCCGCGGGCTCCAGGCATCTGCACAAGAGTCCTCAGTACAGTCCTGTGTGCTTGCTGGCTGGTGTCCCCTCACGCGGCGAGCTCTGGGAGGCGGGCTGAGCTGCTGGGTGCAGCCGCATCCTCCCGGGGCGGCCCCGGGCTGGCACTGCAGGGTCTAGTACCCCATGCCCTCCCCAGAGGCCCCCTATCCCTGAAGCTGCTTTTCTTATGGCTGCTGTGGCTTTGGCCACTCCATCGGGACAATGCCCTTCCTGGGTGGGTGACCACATCATGGAACAAATTACCCGCCGTACTACTTCTGCTGTGAGGTCTGTGCTGCCTGCCACTGGCAGGCCCTCCGATGCACTTCCACACCGGGGGTGAGCGGGAGAGAGGCTCACGGGAGGGGGCTGGAGGCGAGCCCTGCATTTGTCGGACCTCGGTGTACAGAACAGGCCCTCGTCCCATCAGTCTTGGGCCCTGCATGGTTCGTCCCTCCACTGCTGCCCCAGATCACTCGGAATGATGGCCCGTCGTTCTGCTGGCCCAGACCCTCTGCCTGAGTGGGGTGACAGCTTGAGGCTGGACCTCTCATGATTTCTCTCTGCCACTGGTCCCCTGGGGCAGCCACCCAGATCCCCTCTAAGATCGAGGCACTCTCCCCTCGCTGCTGGGAGTGTGAGCTTCTGACCACCTGTAGCCATGTCCTTCTCTGGGAAGTCCCCTTAGCCAAAGGAAACTGCCTAAGGCTACACCCACCCCTGGCACAGCCCACATCCAGTGGCTGGCCGGCTGCAGTGGCCGTACTGGGCCCTGTGCCCCCTCCTGTAATCTGGGACATCTGAAGGGCCCAATGGAGAGCCAGCTTCCAGGCCGAGACCCTGTTAGGACTGCACCAGAGTTCAGCTCCTCCCTCTGCCCAGCCCCGCCCCTTCCTCCTGGAGAGCTCAACCCAGTTAACCTCCTGCATGCACATCTGAGTCTGTTTCCTGGGAACCTGACCTATTTTGCTCATCTGTCATTCCTTCACCCAAATTTGTCCATTTTTATAGTCATTTACTAAGCACTCACTAGGCATGACCAATAAATGGACCAGGTAGGATCTCTGAAATTCTTCCCAGAGCTCTGTCTGTGGCCTTTAAGACTCCCCTCCCTAGCGACCATCATAGTCCACGAGGCGAAAGACAGAAGCAGGCATCCCGCCCCCACCACGGGGATTCCTGGGAGAGAGTGGGCTGCTCTGAGTCAGAACCCCCACGGGCATACTGCTGGGCGCGGGGTGGCTGCGGCTGCCTCCCGAGAGGAGAGTGGCCCTCACCTCTTGTTGAGCACCATGTTCCCGAGCTTCAGGTCCCTGTGCACGATGTTCTTCTGCAAGACAACAGACTCGTGGTTTGCGCCGTGAAGGTGAACAAGGGCTGGAGTTGGGCCCAGCCTGCAAGGCGGGAAAAGGCTCCGGGACCGTTGTTTTAGGCTACTGCCTTGATTCGTAAGCCACAGACAGGCCAGGGCCATTCTAAGGCTGCATCAGCCACGTGCTGGAACAGGGCGAGACTTGGGCCCCGGCGATCTCCGCCCCACCCGGGGTGGCTTCCCAGCTCTTTCTCCCCCCAGGGCAGCATCCAGGGGGGAAACCCAGTCCTCTCCCCACCTCTGTCAGACATCTTGTTGAAAAACAGAACAAAACGAAAACAAATAACCACGCATCTGCGTGGATCCAGAGTCAGAGACGAACGCTCATGACTCTGGTGACCGCGTCTGAAGGCCCGGCCCGTGGAAGTGTGCCTGTAAGGGGCTCTCCTGACCTGGATTTTGGGGTACCTGACATCCCCAATCCTAGGAGAAGCTCAGAGATAGGCTGTGGCCGCCCCCAGGGGGTACCTCACAGTCACTACCCGAGGCGGGGGACTCATTTTCAGCTTCTCGGCCGACGGAAAACCCCTGCTCTGGGTTCCGCCCGGCTGCCCGTCCGGGTCCCCCTCCCCAGGAGGGTGGGGGAGGCCTGCAGCACTGTGCCTCACCAGGCGCACACGTCATCCGGGCACTTCCCTTCTGCACACGCCCAGCTGTGAGGCACAGCTAGGCGAGGGCGGGACGGTGCTGCTTTCGCTCGCTAGCCACAAGAAGGGCGGCTTTCTGTGGCTCGTGGGGCCCAGGACGCTCTCAGGCCAGGGGAGAAGGACCCACCGAGGGCAGAGCCTCACCTGGTGCAGGGCTTCCACCACGCGCACCACGTCGTAGAAGATGACCACGGTCTCGCGCTCGCTGAGCCTCTTCTCCTTGATGACGTAGTGCTGCAGGTTGATCAGGTCAGCGGTCTTGTCGCTGAAGTCGTGTGCACAGAGGCAGTCCAGGACGAGGCAGATGCGCTTCTTCATCTTCTTAACCATTCGGCTGGATTCTGTGTCCTCAACGATTTCACAGGTGCGGTCCTGGGAGGCAAGGGGGCAGATGAGGCCAGGGCGTCAGAACACGCCTCTGGAGCTGGACACCCACGGCGATGAGGCAGCCTGGAAGAAGCCTGCATGCGTGTGGATGGTGGAGGTCTGAGGCCTGGGCAGCACGGAGCACGGGCCGCTCACCAGTGCCTGGCTTCCCATGGACCAGTGCCGGGCCCCGCAGGGGATGAGGTTACAGCAGCTCAGGTCAAGTCTTCAGGCTTTGATCCCAACGCAAAGGGTTTGGATCAGGGCTGGACGTTGAAAGCCGAAGAGCCCCTGAGCCCAGTGCACAGGCTGTCCGTGGCTCTCCAGATTTCCAGCAGTGACCGCTACACACGTGCTTCCAATGTCCGCGATGGTGGCTGAGGAGTGCTTTGTGTGTCCAAGACCACTGCTTTCGCGTGGAAGCGCAACTCCTAGGCAGCCACGTAACGGGGGTTAAGAGTGCGGCTCTGGCCCCTGGCGGCTGGGTTCAGGTCCCAGCTCCTCCTAATCTAAGATGTGGAGCCTGATCTCTGGCTTCTCAGCTACATGTGGGAGCCGGTAACCCCCACCTCACAGGTCACTGGGAATAAGATGGACCAGGCTGAGCGCTTGTCCCACCCCAGCCAGGGCTCGCTAGGTGGACGCTGCTACCAACACTGCGGTTGCAAGTTCTGGACCTGTTTCCTTGCGGAAAAGGTATTATTTCAAGTAAGACAAAAAAAAAAAATAGGTGCAACATGGGGACTTGTATCCCGCCAGCTTGAGGTCCTCAGTGTCACTCCCAGCTTCTGGGGAGCTCCTGGGGGCTGCCTATCCACACCTCTTATTCTCTCTTCCCCAGGGGGCCAACACGGAGTCCACCATGCAGATGACTCTAGAAATACGAGTCACCCAGCTTCTCTCATCCAAAATGACCTAGGCCAAGGCCAGATCTGAAAGCTGGCAGAAATGAAGTACCGAGAAATCACAATCCCTCTCAGCTGGACTTCCCGTGTAAGGGCAACACTGGCTGCCAGCGTTGCTTAACAATGCTGAGCGGCCTGTGACTGCACACCTCGGAATAAAGAGCTCGGGGGTGTACGTGGGGGTTAGGAGGCATTCGGGTTTCTTTTACTCCAGGAAATCAAGCTTACAGGGATTTTTACTGCCTGAAATAACCACCACGATGAGAGCACAAAAGGGGCAGTGCGGTGCACTGTATACTCTCATTCGTCTTCCCACGCACCGAGCAAGAGGAATCTGAGGCCTGGGGACCTGAGTGACTTGCAGGAGGCCGCACCACTTGAGTCCAGGACTGCTGGCTCCAAAACCCGTGTGCACTTCCTGACACTGCGCGGCCTTTCGTGCACCAGGTCCGTCCAAGCAAGGGGGCCCTGGCCAGAGCATCGGCTGAGGGCGCTGCAGAGGCTCTGCTGGGTCCTGAGCTGGAGACCTCCTGGGCATGTGAGCCCGCTTTTTTATTTCTGGAGACACAATTTCAGTTCTGCCCCAAGGAAGACTCTTTTTAGGGTACAAGTTGCTAATTAGTACCTTTCCTTGGGGACCTGGAATGTCAGAGCACGGGGCTCAGGGACACTTGTTGAACCAACCGGAATGCCCGGGCAGGCAGAAGGGCTGTTGGCACCAAAACAGCCGAGGTGGCTCCAAGTGCCTGTCCTCCCCCTCTGCCCTCTCTGCCGTCCTGGCCTGGCCAGTTCCTGACAACACAGTAGAAAGAGCCCGAGGTCTTCAAATGACTTCCTGCTTTCCTCCCTTCTCAGAACAGTGGCTTCACAAAGAAAGGCTGTAAGAGGCGAATTGAGTGCCTTGCTGCTGTGCTGTGATCGCCAGAGCAGGAGAACTGCAGGGCTGGCCCGGCCTAACCTCCCACCCACCGGGCCCAAGAAGTTCTGATGTGCCCAGCACACAGGGGTTGCAAGGGTGAGCTGCCCAAAGTACAGATGTGGCCCCAGCAAGTGCCAGCCCGGGGTGGGAGGACAGGGAGAAGAGGGGACAGGCAGCCACTCACCTGGAAGAGCCCGTGGTGGTGAACCACGCCATCCTGCGTGTGGAGGAGGGAAAGCAGAGAGTATTCGGTGTGTAACAGCATCTTGCCTTGCCTCTCCTCTTGGCTTTCTATTCCTTGGTCCCCCCTCTCCTCAAGGGTAAGGATCTTTAGGAAGGCACACATAAAAAAAAAAAAACAACCCCCCAAAACCTTACTTTTACAGAGCAGAATGGCCAGAACAGGAAAAGCAGGAGATCACGTACTACCATGCGACACTTGCTCACACACTCACACACGCACCTAAGAAGTGAACAGTTTTTCTTAATGTGACGGCAGTGTAATTTATGGACAGATAAAGCTCATTAAATCAAGAGTTGTTCAGAGAGAGGCTGTGAACTTGACTGCTTCTCAGGAAGAAATGGTGCCACTCTTGCTCGCAAGTGTAGGTGCGAAGGTGGAGAAAAGGGAGCCAGGCTGGCAGGATGGCCCGATCCCTGTACGCCAACCCCTCACGCCTCGCTTACCTTCAGCTGATAGAAGTCATCTGTGCCATCTTTCCTGGCCAAACACTGCACAATGCTCGGCACCGGGGAGTTGCCCAGACGGGGACCTGTGGCAGAGGAAGCAGCTGGCTCACTGTGCAGAAGCTCTGTCTATTGTGGCCCATGTCACCACATGGTCTTTGGCTAGTCCTTCTCTGCAGGCGGGTGCCACAGTTCACACCCACTGAGCTCACCCCACAAAGTCCTTCTCACAGCCTCCCCACCAAAACTGGAGGGTATGTGCGCACATCTGCCTGAGGCGCACCTGGCTCTTATGGGCACATTTCTCAAACAGAGTTTTTCAACAGTGGGAGCCAGCTGGACCCTGAGGAGCCGGTGTTAAAGAGAGCTAGCTGCAACCTGCCCCTCTGAACCAGCAACTCCAGGTGAGAGTCTGGGAAAGCAGAGCTCTAACAGGATCCCCTGGTAGTCCAATATAGCCACCTGACCCCGGTCCAAGTACCAGCTTTTGGGAACTTCTATATTTCCGGAGATGCAGACTACTCGTTGTCTTGTGACAGCACCCTGTCTGAGCTTTCAGAGAACATAAATCAGATAATGTCTTCATGTCACTGTCCTGCTAAAAATCCTTAACAGTGCTCAACTGCTTTTAGTATGCAATCGAAACCCCTTTTTTGACCTCCCCAGTCTTGTATAACTTGATTCCTATCCATCTTTCTAACTGGTTATTTCCCCACCCCAACTCACCATACTCCAGCTTCACTGGCTTCTTAATTCCTAAGAAATTAAACCCTTTCCTGCTCTGGGCTTTTGAGTTAGCTGTTCCTTCTGTCTGGAATGCTTTTCCCCTGCTTTCCACAAGGCTGGCTCCTTCCCATCCTCGGACGTCAGCTCAAATGTCACCTGCTCGTACACAACCTCCCTCGTCTGCACCATCTCCAGGCCCTTGTTCCCCTCACGTCACCTCGTTCACTTGCTTCCACGCACTCACTGCCCCCGGTGGGGATCTGTGTGTTGTTTACTCTGTTTCTTTTCGCAACTAGAATGTTAGGATCTGTGAGGCAGGAACGTGACTGTCTCACTCGCTGCTGGGTCCCTGGCAAACAGCACAGGTCTGGCATGGAGGGGGCACCATTAACTCCTTGCTGGACGACTGGAGCTGGAACAACCCTGCGCCTGTAAGTCCAGATGCTGTTCCCCCAGCAAAACTCACACCTGGTCTCCGGCTGCTAGGGGAGTCGGGGTCTTAGAGCCCACCTAATCCTCAACCCTGAGTATAAGCAACTCGGACTTGCTCGGGCCTCTGACATCACGCAGAAAGGCCCTGCCGCTCCTCTGGACCACTGGGAACACCTGGTTCTACAGGACTTCTGCGCCAACTTCACAAGAAGTTTCAGGGGCCATAACAAATGCTTTGTGAAATTAATTGTGCCCTCCAAGAATGGTCCAAAAAAAATGCCTTGGATGATGGCCCCCTGGAATCTAACGCAGCTTCCCGTGGGTGGCATCCAGGGGGAGGAGACAGTCTAGCTCTCAGCTGAGACTGACCTAAGGCTGGTGTAGCTACAGCAAAAGTGAGACTCTTGGTACAGGGTGACCTAAGGCCCCGGATCTCCCACTGGCATACAGAGGCTGGAGTGAAGGTGGTGAAGCTGGGCCAGATCGAGGATGCCCCTGCGCCTGGCCCCCGCCCCCAGCACTCCCACTCGCCCGGTGGGGGAGAGGCTTACCCAGGATGAAAGGTCCAGCTCTCTTCGCATTACTTCCAGAAATCCCGCTTCCTAGAGCCTTGGCCTTGGCCGACGTTTCCCCAGCTCCTCTGTCTGATGCTCTCCGCTTCATTCTTAGCTCTAGACAAGACAGAAAAGAGCCCCTCTCACTGAGCAAGTCAGCGAGTTTCCTTATGCTAACCCAGCCTCCGAGCCTCTGACTTGGCGATGCGTCACACAGCTGCTGCTGCTGCTGCTGCTGCTGCTGCTGCCGCCACCACCTCCTCCCCCTCCCAGAGGAGCACTGAAGGATCCTGGTGACAAAGAACCTGGGCTCCTTTGCTTGGGATTAATTAGGGACTCAAGGTGAGTGTAGTTCAAGGTAGCATATACAGGCTACTGAGCAGGCAGCCAGCTTGCCTCAAAGGGGCTGGTCAAATGCAGAGAACCCTGGGCTTTGTGCAGATATAAACTGGGGTCCCCACGAGACCACCACAGAGAGGAGAGCTGGCCTGGAATTCACTATTCCTAAAGTGAGGCTTTCCCCCCAAATACTGATGGCCAAGTGGCCTGACGTGCCGATTCCTGGGTCCCACTCCACCCCTGATGCTCTGATTCCTGGGGTGCAGGCCCCAGGAAATGGCATGATGGATGTGAGGACTGAGGGATTCTTATCCCCACGACATGAGTGGGTTACTGCCCTGATGGTCCCCTCTTCTCTCCAAGTCTCCTTGACTCTGAGATCCTCTCAGTTGGAAGAGCACCCCAAAGTTGTCAATGGGGGGGGGTTTGCTTTCTCTTCCCTTTCTCCAATTTTCAACACTTTCTTTTAAAACAAAAACATACTATGCATTTAGGAGCCAATTAAAGAACAAAAATGGAAGTTGTGACCACTTTGACCTCTTCCAGGGTTAAAATGAAAGGTTGAGCCCTGGCTGGTGTGGTTCAGTGGACTGAGTGCCAGCCTGTGAACCAAAGTCACCAGTTCATTTCCCAGCCAGGGCACATGCCTGGGTTGCGGGCTAGGTCCCCAGCAGGGGTGCATGAGAGGCAACCACACATTGATGTTTCCCTCCCTCTCTTTCTCCCTTCCTTACCCCCTAAAAAGTAAAATAAATAAAATCTTTTTTTTTTCTAATGAAAGGTTGACACAGGAGCCAGATTCTAGGAGATATTAACCTAGGGACATGAATTTTAAAAAAAGGAAGAGTCCCTCCTTCCAGCTCTCCACAGTCAGCACCTCAGGTGGGGCGAGGAACAGATGCACACAGACGAGTCCCACAGAGAGGGCGGAGGGCCCCAGGGGTGCCCAGGGCAGGCCAGCTGCCCAGCCCCGAGGAGAGGTCCTGGCCCAGTGTGGGTGCGAGTGCTCAGGGGAAACTTCCCAGGGGAGGTGCTATGGAGTGGGCCAGGTGAGGGGCCAGGGCATCCCAGGCAGAGGGACCTGGTGAGCAAACACACAAAGGTAAGACATGGCACACAAACAGCCAACTCCAAGCAGTTTGTGTTGCTGGAACATACAATATGAAGCAGGGAGTGGACAGAGGTAACCCAGAGAAGGGGCAAAGGCCGTATCTAGGGGACCTGATGGCTGAGTCGGGAGTGGAACCTTTAGGGGCCGAACACTCAGCCCTAAACTTCTATGATTTTCTTCTTCACCTAAAAGTAACTGGCACTCCCCGCAGAAACATTAGAAGATACAGATAAGCAGCTCTGGCCGGGCAGCTTAGTTCGTTAGAGCATCATCCTAATACTCGAAGGTTGTAGGTTCCATCCTCTACCAGGGCACCTTCAAGAAGCTGCCAGTGAATGCATAAATAAGTGGAACAACAAATCATCCCTCTCCCTCCCTTACCCTCTTTCTCTCTCAAATCAATTTTAAAAAACTAAGAATACAAAGATACGCAAAAATAAGAAAAGAAGAACCTGTGAGCTCACTGCCCAGATGTAACTGCTGTTAACATTCAAGCAAACTTTCCTGTGTATACTGTGTACTTACTGTCTTTTTTCTTTTCTTTTCTTTTTTTTTAAGATTTTATTTATTTACTTTTCAACAGAGGGGAAGGGAGGGAGAGAAACATCAACATGTGGTTGCTTCTCGTGCACTCCCTACTGGGGACCTGGCCCACAACCCAGGCATGTGCCCTGACTGGGAATTGAACTGGTGACCCTTTGGTTCACAGGCTGGCATTCAGTCCACTGGCCCATACCAGCCAGGGCTGCCTGGCTAACTTCTCTGGGGCCCTTTCAGTTTAATATCACTTCCTCAGAGAAGCCTTCTTTGATATCCCCACCACCAGTGGGTCCCACTTAGTCTCACTTGGTATACTGCAATTTTTATATTTTCACTCATAGCACTTTCTGCGATTATGTATTTATTTCTATGCTTATATGCTTAATGTCTTTCTCGCACCACTAGACTAAAAATTCCATGAGGAGAAAAAAGAACATTGCTCCCTAAGTGCCAGGCCCAGCAGATGCTGTGAATGGCGGGATGCCGTCTCTCCAGTTGGTGATGGTTCCTACCAGGTCAGCAGCCCTGTGCAGAAGCTGCCCCTGCCCTAGTGGAGAAGCCGCTTTCATGCTGCTCTGGCCCTAGCCTCCTTCTTCCCTGGAGCACTATGCCTCCCCCTTCTCCTGGCTCCCTGGAGCACACCGCGGGGGCCTCACCATATCTGTGTAGATGCTGCCTAGGCGCCTACGCACAGGCTTGGTCTAGACAACAGTTTGCTGGGAGCAGCTGCGACACAGACAATGAGTGGGCTCAGCCTGACCCCACCCACCCCACTCAAGATTCAACTCAAGCAAACGGTACGGGAACTGCTTCAAAATGTAGGCAGACAGAAGGATGGGAGCAGACGGGCAGAGAGAGGGAGAAGATGCTACTGGCAGGGGAGAGGCGGCGAGGCTGCTTCCCTTCCTGAGCATCCCTTCTCGCCACCCGAGCTGGTGGAGCACAGACAGCAGCGTGAGGCGGCAGGCCTGGGAAAGCGGAAGCTGCTGCAGGCTCACTAGGGAGGTGAGCAAAGACTCCTGAGGATAGACCCTCCGGGACTCCCCCCCCACCCCAACTGACGCACAGCGAGGGTGTGCCCACTTTCAAATCCTCCTCAAGGGTTCCCCTCCAGGGGCACACCTGCAAATGTTCCCACGGGGCAGGCCACTCAGAGGGATCCTGGCTTCCCAGTGAGATCTGCGATGTGGCAGCTCTGGCTACCTGGTCTCAGAAGGACTTGGGGCCGGGCTCCTCCAGAGACACTGGCCCTCAGGCCCAGCCTGGCTAAGGGGAGGCTGTCAGCTGGTGTTTCCCGGGCCCACTGCTCTGCTCCCCAGGCACTTATGGTTCCTGGCGTGGAAGTCACTGGAGCTTTAAATCTGTCAAGTATCCTGTGTGCTGTCCTCCCACGTCATGGCTGGTTCCCTCAGAACCTGGATGCAACAGGAAGCTCAGTGAGGCAACAGTGGGGGTGAGGGATGGAGGCTGAAAGAGCCCAGCCTGGCAGCCCTGCCTCCTGCAGGCTGCGCTCCTCACTCTGGAGAGCAGGGGGTTCTGTTTGCTTGCCCCAGCTGAGGGAGCACATCGTGGTCCTCAGCACGAGAGAGCCTTAGCTCCGTGACAGCCACCAGAGGAGAGGAGGCCTGCCCTACCCTGTCATCTTGGGGTTAAGGTCATGTCACCCTAAAGCTGCGGGGCCACGTGAGCCCAGCTTTCCCAGAAGGCAATGAAGGCCAGGCCATTGGCAACACACAGAGCTCTAAGGCCCACGAAGCCGAGTCCAGGGGTGCAGTGTGACAGTACAGCAGAGCTGGGTGAGGTCGAGCAGGGCAGGACACCACGGCAGCACACAGTTCTACATGTGCTCTGTCCCCCTCCCCAAGTCCTGCTCCAGGACTCTTGGACTAGAGGTACTAGTTCTTAATTCCATCAACTGGATCATAATGAAGGACCCATTTGGAGTGGCCTCATCCTGCTAGACTGTGCCCCGAGTTGATAACTGGTGGACGTACCACCAACCCTAAAAGCAGGCGGGCTGCAAAGAAAGGTGGTACTGAGGCCTCCTGAGCTCAGTCTTTCCTCAGCACCACCCAACTAGAAAGCAGCTAGAGCCTGGCCAGGGCAAGGAGGGGCCCCTTGCTCACACCAGCCGCATCCCCACAGGTCTCCACCTGGACACTTTCATGCGCACAGAGCCAGAGCAAACCCCTACTCCCCACAAACACGGGGGCACCTGCTCACATACGCAAGTTCTGCATTCAACCTCATCCTAGGCTTTTTGCTCTGGGTTCTTGGAGAGATGGGTGATCTTGCAAACCAGATGGCTGAAGACAGAGTGCAAGGGCAGTCCCCTCGAGGAGCAAATGGCAGACCACGGCATAGTTCAGCGCTTACTGTGTGCGTGAGTGTGACAACAGCAGCTTCTCTTTTGCGCTCCTGCTAGGAGCCGAAGGGCTGTGTCTACACTGTAGGACCAGACTGACTTGAAGCCATCCATGTTCACACTGTGCCTGTCAGCAGCCCCCATCCTACCCCCATGTTCCCTGGCTGTCAAAACAAAACAAAACAAAACAGATAAAAGGTTCCTGAGCTGTGCAGGTTTCTGTCTTCTGGACTTGACCTCTGGTGGTGCCCACTGAAAGCAGGGCCCTGCACCCCTGTCCAGCCCACCCGGCACCTGGAAGTGTGCACAGAGCTCCCACCCATCCCCGGCCTCGATCCTACTTGCCACGTGTTAAGGGACTATGTGTCCAGACCCACGGCAGATCCCAGAAGAGGGCAGAGAGTCTCTGCCCACAGGACTCGAAGGCAGCAGAACCAAGTGGTTAGAATGACGTACCCTGGTTTTTTTCTTGTCACAACAAAGAAAATGTGTACAGCACTCAGGGGTGAAAGGACTGGGGGCTCCAGGGGTCCTATGCGTGGCCCCATTCTGTGCCTCAGGATGAAGGGATCACCCTTTACCCTACATAACCCACACTGGGTGGGAACCTCTGAGTCAGAGCAAGGGTTTGGAGTGAGCCAAACCTGGGTGCAAAGCCCAGCACCATCACTTAGTAGTGATGAGATCTTGGACAAGTTACTTATTCTGATCTACAAAATGGTGCACAATATCTACCTTCCAAGTTGGTCTAAGGATAAGAAT